GGCCTCCTGGAGCGGGCGGGGCCTCGAGACGGGGGAGGCGGGGACGGCAGGCGCTGGGAGTCCCTCACTGGGCAGGCGGGAGGCGGGGTCCGCGCAACGGTTGGTGCGGGGTTGGTCGAGGCCGAGAGATGTCCGCAGGCCGCAAGCGAGAGGCGGGGCCGGCCGGAGTAGGCGGGTCCCTGAGGCCCGGAGGCCGGGCCAGGCGGGTGCAGGGGGAGTTGTTCAATCGGCCGGCGAGAAAGCGGAGCCGACGGGAGTGGGAGGGGTCTGTGCAGCAGGAGGCGGGGCGGACTCAGTGGGCCAGTGGGCCACCTGGGTCCTGTCAGAGTTGGAGGTGGTCCGCTGCTCTTGGTTCGTTCCTTCAGCTCCCGTAGCTCTGGCGGAATCTGCGCGATGGGTGACCCGGAAAGGCCGGAAGCGTCCAGGCCCGAGCTGGGTGAGGTAAATGTTGTTGCCGTTCCCTGTCCCGCCCCACAGTCACGCCTGGCCTTTAGGTTGCAAATTGCAGCGGGGACCTGCAAGGTGCAGGACAGCTGTAGGAAATTTTACCCATTGTGGTCGGCAATCCGGTGCAGGCCCGGCCGCGAGCCCTCGCCGCAGCCTGGTTTCGTGGTTGTGAGTGCCCGGGAGGCCGTCCCAGGGGAGGAGTGAAGAGGGAGCCGGGTTTCTGCTCCGCTGCTCTGCTCCGGAGCCAGCCAAGGGCAACGCTCTGAGGTTTCAGGCCAGGCCGAGGAGCCCCACCCCCCCAATCCTTGCATGTCTGGAGCTCTGGCTAAGGAAACCCAGGCAAGGAACGAAGACAGGTAGAACTACTGGAGAAATGCATCCCATCTCTGGGATGGTTAAAAGGAGTGGGAGGACGCATGCAGAAATTGACACAGGTGGATGGGGTGGTGATGATAAGTAGAAGGGCGACGCGAAATCCTCACAATGAAAAACCTCAGGTTAGGAGGCCAGATTTGCTCAGACTGGGCCACTTAACTAGCTGTGACTCTATGAGGTGTCAGTTTCCATTTATACAGTGGAAGTGATACTTCTCTCACAGAGGATTAAGTAAAAGGCTTTATGCAAAGTGCCAGGGAAATTGTGGGTGCCTCACAAAACCTAAGTTAACATGTTTATCTTCTGCTTCTATAATAAAAGTACATAATAACAGTAAATCTATTAGACTGTTGTAAGGTAGTTAAAATTGTTGCTTTATAATTTTTGTACCCTGTTACTTTACAAATACTTGTAAACCATTTGTGTCCAAGAGAAATAACTTTTTGCATTTATCTTGAACCTGTTGCTGTGTGTGGTATCTTCAAGTTTCAGCTTACAGAGACTCATACTTCGTCCTACATTTCTTTAGAAAGTTGTAGAGTCCAGATTTGGGGTTTTATTTTATTTGATTTTGATTGTGTAAACACTTAGTAACTAATTCACAACTTGTAAATATTCCTTAAACTCTTTCTTGTCCCTTTGAAACAAATACATTGAGTACCAATATCCCCACTCCAAAAGGACAATTCAGGGTTTTCTTTTCGTGCTAATGGCACCAGCAATGATTCAGACTTAAGACCTAGAAGTTAACTTTTGTTTATTATCCCTTTCTCAATGACACAGGCCCACAAAGACAGAAGCAGAACTTTAGCTCTGGAATGAATTCTAGTGAGCATCTGGTCCAAAAGTTTTTAACTTGAGATGCCGGGATGCCTTAAGCACTCTGTTTCTCTAGATATGATGGTGTAGCATGGGCCACCTGCATTAGAATCAACTGGAGTTGTAAAAAGTATAAATTACAGGGCCTACATTCCAGACACAGTAAATCAAAATCTCTTAGGATGGATTTGGGCCTGCATTTTTAACAAGTACTTCAGGTGATTCTGGTTCACATATTTTAAGAAACACTGCCTTAAAGCATTCATAGATGGGCTTGCAGGGGGTTTATGAATCAATCTCCTGGAGTTTATAGATTTTGTATGTGCATATATGAATCTCCTGAGAAAGAGGTCCTTGGCTTTCATCAATTTCTCAAAGTGAACTATCATTAATCCAATTGATAGTACTGTTTTCAAGGTAAGAAAGTTTAGGCCAGAAAAGGTAAATGACATACCCAGGACCATATGACTGAATAGTGGAGCAGGGCTTAAAACCAAGTTCTTGCTTGTGGGCCAGTATTCTGTTTTGTCAGATCTGGTGGGAATAGAAAAATGAAAATGAAAGTGACACCTGGGCAAATACAAATAGTATATGACTACATCAGCATCCAAATAGTTGTCTTCACTCAATCTTCTCCAGGCCAAGGCTAACAAGTGAAAGTGGTGGGATTGGGGCTGTTTGGGAGGGAGGGGCCTGATAGCATGCCAGCCTAGACCAGTGAATGGTGAGGACTAGCTGGGGAATCTGCCCTGGCATGTCCTGTTGTGATGAAGTGACCAGAAACTAAGGCAGGCATGCCAGCCTAGAGGTGAGGAATGGTGAATGGTGAATGGTGAGGACTAGCTGGGGAATCTGCCCTGGCATGTCCTGTTGTGATGAAGTGACCAGAAACTAAGGCAGGCAGGATCTAGGGTCACCATTCTGGATGCGACCATAGAATGTTGCCAAGGAATGCCCGTGTGGAACTTTATTTCAGGGTTTTATCACTTCATACCTGTGCAGCTACAACAAATTGTCTACCTTCAGTCTTACCCACTGTTTAATCCTTTTTTTTTTTTTAACCATTACTAAATTAATCCTTCACTAAACCAGTGCCTCTATGTCACTCCTCCCAAGTAAAAATTCTTGAGAGGGTTCCGATTCGCATCAAAAATGCCCGATCCCTTAGGCTGGCAAAGCCCTTATAAGCAGCTTTTTCATGCTAACCACCACATCTTAACTCAGGCTGCCTTTTGCACCTTTGAGATCAATACCACAGTTGCTACCAACATCTAGGTTTTTTTTTTCTTTTCCAGCTCATTCTGCACATAGGTATCCAATGAATCCTCCTCATGCCACTCCTATTCATGTTAATTTATATTCAGAAACTCTCCATGACCACCCACAGGAATGATTTTCAAACTGCCCCACAATAAATGCCAGTCCCTGGGGGCTAGAGAGCAAGTGGTGAGAGTTGGAATATGAACCTCTCAGTCCCCCACATGTTCGAAAATCTTTGGCCCACACAATTAATTCCTAACCTCTTAACCTGATTGATATCCAGAGTGTGGATCCTTTACAGTTCTCTGTTTCATCTGTTGACAGAGCATGGCTTTAGCCAAATCAGATCACTTCTGTCTTTGCTTTTGATTGTCCTACATTCGTCTCAGCCACTTTTAATCCCAGCTGGCTCCTCTTCCATCTGTCCTTTCAATGTCTGCGTTTTCTAGGCAGTATCCTCAGCCATGCTGCTTCTCTAGATGTTCTCCCAGGATAATCCCTTTGGTGACTACTAATGGGATAGGTCACCACCACTCCTCTGCCGCAGTGTTATATTTTTAGTTGCCTTCTGGATATCTTCAAATTGAACAAATTATGTTTTTTATTGACCAAGTTGACCTTTTAAAAACTATTGTGTTTGTAACTCTTTATTGTTGTTATGGCTCGGGTCTGTGGGGGAGTTCATTCAAATTAAGCTTTTGTTAAACATCTAATGTGAGAAGCAAGAGTTTTTGTCTGATTTATTCAGTTATTCTCCAGATGCTGAACACTTTCTCTGTCTCTCATTTCTTGTTATGATCATCCAGTTGCTGGACCCATCAAGGGCATCTTCAACTCTTCCTTATCCTGTTACCTAAAATCCAAAATTTTAACAAGAATGATTAATTCTACTTCTGACTGTCTCTTTTGTTTGTTTTTTAATTTTATTTTTTATTTTTTAAAATTACATCCAAATTAGCATATAGTGCAACAATGATTTCAGGAGTAGATTCCTTAGGGCCCCTTACCCATTTAGCCCATCCCCCCTCCCACAACCCCTCCAGTAACCCTCAGTTTGTTCTCTATATTTGTGAGTCTCTTCTGTTTTGTCCCCCTCCCTGTTTTTATATTATTTTTGTTTCCCTTTCCTTATGTTCATCTGTTTTTTCTCTTAAAGTCCTCATATGAGTGAAGTCTTAGGATTTTTGTCTTTCTCTGACTGACTAATTTCACTTAGCATAATACCCTCCAGTTCCATCCACGTAGTTGCAAATGGCAAGATTTCATTCTTTTTGATTGCCGAGTAATACTCCATTGTCTGTATATACCACACCTTCTTTATCCATTCATCCATCGATGGACATTTGGGCTCTTTCCATACTTTGGCTATTGTTGATAGTGCTGCTGTAAACATGGGGGTGCACGTGTCCCTTCGAAACAGCACACCTGTATCCCTTGGATAAATGCCTGGTAGTGCAATGGCTGGGTCCTAGGGTAGTTCTATTTTTAGTTTTTTGAGGAACCTCCATACTGTTTTCCAGAGTGGCTACACCAGCTTGCATTCCCACTGACTGTCTCTTAAAGCAGTCTTCTTTTGTGTTTCTACTGCTGGTACCCTAGTTCAGGCAGGATATGGGTAGGGTAATAATCTTTAAATTGTTCTCTCCACCTGCAATTTCTCTTCTAATATGACCACATTTCTGGAAAAGTGATCTTAAAAGACAGACCTGATTATGTCTCTTGTCTAATTAAAAACTTTCTAAGTCTTGGGGCACCTGGGTGGCTTAGTCAGTTGAGCGTCTGACTTTGGCTCAGGTCATGATCTCACGGTTCTTGAGTTCAAGCCCCACGTCAGGCTCTGTGCTAACGGCTCAGAGCCTGGAGCCTGCTTCAGATTCTGTGTCTTCCTCTTTCTCTGCCCCTCCCCACCCCAACAATAAGTAAACATTAAAAAAAAAAAAAGGGATTTATAAACTTTCTAAGTCTCCTAATAGTGTATGTGATAGAGGACAGATGCTAAAGTGTTATATATCAAAACAGAACACTTTCAACATTTTTTGAAAACCAGCATCTTAATAGCCATTTAACATGCAAAATACATACCTACCTTAACTTCAGATAAAGCTTAGAGACAAAGTATACATTTTAAAAGTGAAAAGTTAAAATTTTTTGCTTGTTTCATTTCAGCAGAATGATGACTTTGAGGTAAAAAAGAAAGTGTCAAAACAGTTGTATCAAAATGACTATAGAAAAACCACTGTGGCAAAATTCATATATATTTATACTGACAGCCCTCTTCCCATGGCTTTAATACCTGACCGTATTTTCCAAACAAAATTGTAAGCCCAACACTAATAGATAAAATCCACCTTTGTTTTATTAGTATAAGTTTACTTAAGTTAATGTATAGAACATTACTTATAAAATCAATTAATAGAATAGTGAGGCTGTTTTGATGAACCCATCATTTTGAATTGGGGTACAGATGGTAAGTGAAGATTTATATCAAACTTAGCAAACAATTTCTTTGCATATATATCACAAGTTGTGTGTTTTGTTTTTTTTTAAGTTTTTATTTATTTTAGAGAGAGATCATAGGTGAGCAGGAGAGGGGCAGAGAGAGAGGGAGACAGAGGATCTGAAGCAGGCTCTGTGTTGACAGCAGAAAGCCCAATGCAGGGCTCAAACTCACAAACCACACGTGAGATCATGACCCGAGCCGAAGTCGGATGCTCAACCAACTGAGCCACCCAGGGGCCCCTTATCAAAGTTTTCTTAATCAATTTACTACTAGTCAGTCTTGTGGATTTACCAACCCTATAAAATAAGTGGATAGCCACTGGCTTCAGAATGTAAGAGTAGTAGATTCTTCTCTGATGCACCCACATACTTCTGTTCCCACTGGCTGAGTTATACCTTACCAAATCAGTTGTCTTGTTTCCAATCTCATTTATAATACCTATTGCATTTGCATTGTAATTATTATAATTTAATTAAATGTGTAAACTATGAGAATGAGAAGGAAGTTGTTTCTGTGAAAACTTAAATTGGAAGCTATGGAGAACTCAGTGAAGATGACTCATTAAAAACAAATTCTGTAGAAGAGATGTAAGCAAGACAAGTATAAAAAGATTGGGAGGGAATCCTACAAGAGATAAGGACTCTGCCCTCAGTGTTCCACCTTAAGTATGTTAAAACTAGAAAGTGTAAATGATGTGTTATATCATGTTTATGTCAGAAAGACTTGGGAGTCCAATCAGTGAGCCAAATTGACAACAACAAAAAGCTCTGACTTTATAGCAGAAAATGAGTAAGTAAATGTAAATTACATGTTTTAAGTTAAATACTTTAAGGCATATATCATTTTCTTATGATTCCTTCCTTTAGCCAATTTCTAACTGCCAGTTTGGATCACTTTGCATAAAAGGGCTTCTACTGTTTTATTATTATTATTGTACTATTGTTTTATCCTTTTTGTTTGGTTTTGAAAAAAATCTAGGTTCACTCCTGAAAAACAAATACAAATGATTACAGATTCTGTTTGTTTGTTTTTGTTGTTTTTTTAAACTGCCCGTCTCTTAATCTCATGTGTTCTTTAGTTAAGCAGAGATGGCTAGAGAAACTTTTATCTGAGGTCTCTCCCCCTCCCCGCCCAAAAAAGGAAAGAAAAATGACAACCTGGAAACACAAGTGCATGCATTCGTGGCATTCTTTCTGTATATACAGAACATCTGTTGTGTTTTAACCTGTTAAAATTGTAGTAAAAAATATTTCATAATGAAATTTTAATCTAGCATTTGTGACATTAGAGGGACCCAGAGTTCTTTAGAACGTATTTAGAAAGTCATCGGGAAGTGTTCTCTGCTTTTTTTTTTCTGGTTTCTTCTCCTTCTATTGTCCCACACATACGGTAAGGTCTAGATTTAGAAAGTACATGCCATCGTGACTTTTTTTCACATTGCTTTCTCTTGTAAAATTCTTAGGTCCATAGAGGATATTCTAGAAAACCTAGACCTCTGGGATGTATGCCCCTCCTGACATTGTATTAAAGTGTGTGTGGGTTTTTTTAAGGATCATGGAAATAAGTAATGTGTCATTTCTAGTCCAATTCAGAGGTTTATGTTGATTAAACCCTCCTCTCTTCATACTGCAAACTCTTTCATAATGCCTTCCTAATCCAACTACTTCTCTTAACAATTCACAAATTATCAGAACAGAACAGGAAGAATATATGTTCAAAAGTGACTTTCATTCCAATTTAAAGGTGCTAGTCTTCTGCCGTTTTCAAAGATTCTGACATTGATCAGTTAATCAGCATTTAAAAACTTTCAGGGCCAGAGTGCTTAGCTGCTACATGGTTACTGCTTATGATGGTTCACATAGCAAATACACTGAAGGTAAAGAATTCCAGCTCCAAATATATACCTGTACCCCAGTGACAAAATATATAAAAGCGACACAAACAAAAAACGACTTCCGTTTTAAAAATTTGCTTGAATATTTGGGGAATGAATATCAACTAAATCCCAGGTACTATGCTAGGTTCTAGGGATTCCACAAGAGTAAAGTTAGTTTTTACTCTCGAGAAGCCTAGTCTAGAGGAGACTACAGACGAATAATAAGGAATTAAATTACAGTGAACTATGTGCCATGTGGGGGACCAAATCCCCCCTTTAGGGGCCTGGGGGGAAGGAAATGTGGGAGTACTCAGAAAAGGCTTGATTTGAGTGGTTGTTAGGGTATCTCACTGATGTATTGTGGTCTTATGTTAAATTCTAAAGGTATCCAGTGATTTGAGTACAGGATAAAGAGAAATTAGCAGCCCCTTCACTTACTTAGCTAATGTGTATTGATGTTATGCTTGACACAGTACTCTGGGAACACCACAATAAATAAAAACTGCTTTCTACTCCCCAGGGCTCAAGTGCTTTATCTGGGGAAGCCTACACCTTCAAATAAGTAGTTATGAAATAAGACAGTCTAAAAAATAAGAGCATAAAAAACAAAAAAAAAACAAAATATGAGTCTATATATACTATAGTGGCAGTATGTGTGCAGTGTATAAGCCCTACCTGTATTGGGATAGCCTCAGGCTTCAATTTTGAGCCTTTTTCTCATCTTGCTTTGCTTTAGTTTCATCTGTGACAGTACACTTGCTTCGGAGAGTTGTGGTTGGTGGAAGCAATGAAAAGGATGAAGGAACATGATGGGCCTGGCACTGGAGAAAAAGAGTTTGAATTAGGAGTCTGGAATAGAAATGTATCCCAATAATCTTGATTTATCTATTTTTTTAGCCCATTTGTATGTACTTTCTATATATTCATTCTCATGCAAGGCACAACTCTTCTGATACTCTTGCTGACTGTTAAAAAAACAAAAACAAACAAAAACAAAAACCAGGCACTGTCCCCTCAGAATGCCATCATTTCCAAGTTGTATGTATATAGGTGTGTGCTTCTCACTCAATTCTACAACGCTTTGAGCCAGCCCACAGTAAGACCATCTGTAGTAACGTTAACAAGCAAATAGTAATAACCAATTGGTAAATGGGAAGGTTCAGATGAACAAAGGTTGGTAAATTGTTGGTAAGGAGTTTTCAGTTAAGTATCCTAATATTTCAGTTCAGATTAGGAAAAAAAAAACATTAAAATAAGAAAGTAGCTTATAATAGTAGCCTATTCATGCCAGCATCCTATCTCTGAGAAAGGCACTGAAGGGACATTTTGTGCACAGACTTAGAGATTTGCCCACCATGACACTTAGGGATCTAGTTTTGTGCTTATCCTTAAAGTAGCAATAATGACAATTTTGCTGAGTGCTCCTTATGCACCAGGGTTGGTTTAAAGCACTTTTAACCATTAAGATTAACCTGCGAGTTAAGTGTTATTTTACTGATAAGGAAAAAACCAAGGCTCAGAGAAGTTAAGCAACTTTCGATGGTCACATAACTAACCAAACACTATTAACCAGGTACCAGATAACAGCAAGGATTCAGCCCAGGCAGACGGACTCCTCAACCTGTGCTGTCTATTTAATTCCCCCAAATTGGTGTTTAGATATGTATAAAGAGGTAATGTCTACACAGAATGTGTGTGTGTATTTTATTTTCCAAAGAGGTTGTCTTCAGATTCCAATGAAAATGAAGTGAAGTCAAATGAAGAGCCACTCCTACGAAAGAGTTCTCGCCGATTTGTCATCTTTCCAATCCAGTACCCTGACATTTGGAAAATGTATAAAAAGGCACAGGCATCCTTCTGGACAGCAGAAGAGGTAAGTGGCATTACCTTTGACAGCAGTCATATTCTAGTGCAGTGTTCATATCTTCTGTCATAGGACGTTGAAAAATGTTAACTTATATTGTAAGATATGTTGGATAAGATCAGTTGTTTAAGATAATGTTTGAAATTGCTGAAACTAAATAACAGGGTTCTCCAATGTTTTATGTTTAGACTGCCGTCTATGCCTGTAAACATGTTTCCTGCTGCAAAAGTGGCCTCAGTCTCCCAGGCTTTTACTTTCAATATATTTTAGAACATTTTATATTTTTTTAATTAATTATTTTATTTTTATTTGAGAGAGAACATCAGGGGGGGAGGGGGTGGGAGAGGAGAAAGACACACACACACACACACACACACACACACACACACACAGAGAGAGAGAGAAAGAGAGAGAGAGAGAGAGAAAATTTTAAGCAGGCTCCACGCCCAGCACAGAGCCCAACCTGAGGCTCTATCCCACGACCCTGGGATCATGACAGGAGGCAAAATCAAGAGTCAGACGCTTAACGGACTAAGCCACCCAGGTGCCCTAAACATTTTCTATTTTTAAAGAGACTTTTGATTTGCTATGACCAAATAAAACTAGTCTTTATTTATGGTCAGCAGAATAAAAAAAATTCACCACAGCCAAAAAATGGCGGTGAAAGCCTTAGAGACCCTGCTTTCCATTGAGAGACTTACCTGATTGTGCAGAAAGAGCTGTGCCAGGGAATCTGACCACTAAGGCAGTGCTCTCCCTTCTGAGCTGTCAGCTGGAGCTCCTCCCAGTCTGGCCCCGCCTTCAGCCACATCAAACCTGGCGCTGCTGCTCCAACAGACAGGGTGGCTGTAGAATGCTGTATGTTAGGGGCATTTTCCGTCTTGAAAAAGAGTTGAAAACAATAAATTAGATTCCTTGCTGGTTTGGTAAGGACAGGTGGTCATGTAAATGGTTGCTCCATAGTTTGAACACACAAATAGTCATTATGTTCCTCTCTGAATATAATGGATGATACTTGCACACTTGCTCTGTGTGTACGTGTGTATTTATCTATATAAATAGATCCAAATCTATCTAAATATATCCATTTGTCTATTTTTCAGAAGATTGATTTCACACATGTAAACATGCACTGTTAAGAATCGAGGCCCTGGGGGCGCCCAGATGGCTCAGTTGGTTAAACGTCTGACTTCAGCTCAGGTCATGATCTCATGGTTTGTGGGTTTGAGTCCCGCATCCAGTGAGCTTGAGCCCCGCTTTGGGTGGGTCCTTCTTCCCTCTTTCCCTCTCTCTCTCTCTGGCCCCCATGGATTCTCTCTTTGCCCTTCACTCACTTCTCTCTCTCTCTCTCTCTCTCAAAAAAAGAAAGAAAGAAAGAAAGAAAGAAAGAAAGAAAGAAAGAAAGAAAGAAAAGAAAAGAAAAGAAAAGAAAGAAAACAGGCTCTGGAGCCAAACTGCTTAGGTACCAATCCTGACTCTACCACTTACTAGCTGTGGAACCGGGAACATTGGTTAACTTCTCACAGTCCTCATTGGAAAATCAGAAGGCATGAATTGTTGAAGTTTCTATTACACTAATTTTACCCACTTATCCATCTGTGTTATATTGTTAACATCTTTGTTATATTATAATTAACATACAGAGCAAAAATCTGAAACAAAATAAAACCCTGGTATTTTCTAATTGGGTCACACTGCTTGGCACGTCTGATTGTTTCTAACTGTCATTTTTAGGAGGTGTTTTGTTTGATATGGTTAACTGAACAAATGGAGTACACAGGTGGCTTTTTCACTCGTCATGTTAAAAAGCTACTTGTGATACTTGGGTTTCTCAGAATTCATTTGAAAATTACTTGCATCTTTTAGCGAATATAATACATGTTGTATTATGACTAAGAAATACTAATTTAAAAAAAATTTTTTTTAACATTTATTTATTTTTGAGACAGAGAGAGAGCATGAACGGGGGAGGGTCAGAGAGAGGGAGACACAGAATCTGAAACAGGCTCCAGGCTCTGAGCTGTCAGCACAGAGCCCGACGTGGGGCTCTAACCCACGGACCGTGAGATCATGACCTGAGCCGAAGTCGGCCGCTTAACCGACTGAGCCACCCAGGCGCCCCAAGAAATACTAATTTAAAAAATTAAAATACATAGGTTGGTACATATTTTATAGGAGGTTTATAGGAAGATTTAAATACCCATTAAAAATTTTTTTAAAGTTTATTTTCATTTTTGAGAGAGAGAGAGAGAGAGAGAGCGAGCGAGCGAGAGCATGAGTGGGGCAGGGGCAGAGACAGAAGGAGACACAGAATCTGAAACAGGCTCCAGGCTCTGAGCTGTCAGCACAGAGCTTGACGTGGGGCTCGAACTCATGAATTGTAAGATCATGACCTGGGTTGAAGTCAGACACTTAACTGACTGAGCCACCCAGGTGCCCCTAAATACCCTTCTTAAAAGGAAGTAAGACACATTTAGTTCCACATATTTTTCCTTCAAACATATTATGTTAGTTCCAATTTAGTCATTGTGTTATCTGTAGTTTAGGATTATTCTTAAATATGTCTGATCATCAGAAATCTTGATTTAGAAGTAAAAGGTTTAGGGTTTGGGTTTTTCTTTTAAAGCTACCAGGCAGTTCTAATAATGAGTAGTTTAGGATCAGTATTTAGATAGTGAAATTGAGAATAAGTGAAACTTATAAGACTATTTGAAGTTGAGTGTTTGAAGGGGTAAGTTTAATGTTTAAGAGTGAGCATATTATAGTATTAAAATTTAATATCAGGAGTAGAATACACAAAAACTAAGAAGGTACCCTTAAGTTAATCCTGAGTTGAGCTCTTAAGAGAATAGGATCTGGTTATTAGCTTGCATGTTTTAAAAGATATATACAACATATCCCCCACATCATCACACACACACAACAGCATTGTATCTCTAACACTTTTTACAGTGTCTGGCATATTGTAGGTGCTAAGTAAACATTTAAAGAATAAAGTAACAGGAAAAAGGATTTCAAAAAAGAACACAAATAATGAAGCATTAATCCTTTTTGGAATGGTGAAAGAGATTAGGGCTTCGTAAGAATAAATAAAAGGAGGACAAAGGACAGTTATATATTTCAAATGTTTATGAAGTTATTGTGAAAAATACTTCAGAGATCTTCCTAAGACAAAATAATATCTACAAGGTACATTTAAATCCTATTTTAAATTATAGAGTCCATCAAACTCTAGAGTACCTTCCTCTATTAACTGCAAGGACTAGTTCTAATAAGCATTTTCAGAAATATTTCTATTCCCAGAGGAAGCCATACCTGTAAATAACTTTAAAACCTGGGTGGTTACATGCCTGGCATTACTTTCTGGGTATAAAAGTAGATTAGCTGCCCGTAAAGTAGCAGCTACTATTGCTTACGAGGTAGTTAATCTAACACTACAGTAAGTATTATATACCATGTTAAAGCAATGGCAGCTGAAAGTCATTAGTTTATTCTGCCTCAGTTCCTTTTTTTTTTTTTTTTTTTTTTTTTTTTTTAATTTTTCAATGTTTGTTTATTTTCGAGAGAGAGACAGAGAGCAAGCAGGGGAAGGGGAAAGAGAAAAGGAGACAGAATCTGAAGCAGGCTCCAGGCTCTGAGCTGCCAGCACAGAGCCCATCATGGGGCTCAAACTCATGAACCGCGAGATCATGACCTGAGCTGAAGTTGGACGCTTAACCAACTGAGCCACCCAGATGTCCCTGCCTCAGTTCCTTCTTGATCAGTTTTTAATCTCTTCCCCCCCTTTGGCCCTTCCTTCATTTTTTCTAGAGCCACTAGATTGTTTTTCTCCCTAGATTTATTGAGATATAATTTACCTAAAATATTGTGTAAGTTTAAGGTGTACAACATACTGATTTGATACACATATATTGCAAAATATATTAGCTAACACCTGCATCCTGTGCAATAATTACCATTTCTTTTTTGTGGTGACGATAGTTATGCTAATTTTAATACTTTGAAAGAATATCCTGGCCAGTTTCTAAGTCAGAATATAGAGTCCTTCATAATGCTTTTATTGTGTTCCTTTGTAATAGTCTCGTCGGTTTGGGTGGCTATAATAATACATTAGACTGGATGGCTTACAAACAACAGAATTTTGTTTCTCACAGTTCTGGAGGCTGGGAATTCCAAGATCAAGTCTCTGGAAGATTTGGTACCTGGTGAGGTCTCAGTCCCTGGTTCATAGATAACTGTTTACTTTCTGTGTTTCACATAGCAGAGGAGGTGCAGAAGCTCTCTGGGGAGTTTTTTTATAAGGGCACTAATCCCATTCATGAGAGCTCCCCACTCATGACCTAACCACCACCCAAGACTTCACCTCCAAATACCATCACATTGGGCATTAGTTTCAAATATATGAATTTGGTGGGGGAACACAAACATTCAGTCAATAGCAGTTATGTTAACATTTTTTTCCTGTTTCAAGTTTTATTGCTACTGAGATGTCTCTCCTGAACTTTGAGATGAAAGTTAGTTTTCTAAACACTTTGAGAAGAATTAAACACCAAGTTAAAATTCTTGAAAATCTTTTTATTTCCAGGTTGACTTATCAAAGGATCTCCCTCACTGGAACAAGCTTAAATCTGATGAGAAGTATTTTATCTCTCACATATTAGCCTTTTTTGCAGCCAGTGATGGCATTGTGAATGAAAATTTGGTAAGGTTTTTGTTTTATTTCTGTTTCCATTCAGAAGCTAAATCATGATAATGGTGGTAAAACAGTCTGAACCTGAAAAATAATGTCTAGGAAATTAAGTAGATGTAGCTTAACTCTCAGAAATGTTTTTCTGATGAAGTGTCAGAGAAAAGGATACATTTCTCCCATTTGACCAGCAAAATATCATGAAATCAAGCATATTGTGCCAATCAAAACTACTTACAATGCATAGACATGAGTTTGATTTTTACCCTTAGATAGTAACCTTAATAGAGAGCCTGCACCTTAATAACCTTTCTAGAACTGTGTAATTGAGCTCTACATTCTGGTTCCCCTTGTTTAAACTTGTATTCTGGTTGGCCAGGAGGCATGCTTTCTTGTTAAAGAGAATTAGAAAGATACAAACTTTCATCATGAATTAGAAGGGGTTTTGTTCAATCTATCAGCTGTTGGGGAAAACAAAAAGACTTAAGGTCAGTTTTACAAAGCAAAGTATTTACTTTTGATGTTCTACGATGTACTTGGCTATAGGGAGTATCTCTACTTAATAGATCAGTTCATTTAATTGCTTAAGAATACATGATGCAACTGGATCCTGATAAACTTAACAGAAGACCATGGGGGAGGGGAAGGAAAAAAAAGAGAGGGAGGGAGGCAAACCATAAGAGACTCTTAAAAACTGGGAATAAACTGAGGGTTGATGGGGGGTGGGAGGGAGGGGAAAGTGGGTGATGGGCACTGAGGAGGGCACCTGTTGGGATGAGCACTGGGTGTTGTATGGAAACCAATTTGACAATAAATTTCATATTAAAAAAATATTTTAGAATATTTAATGCTTTGGCAAATTGTGCATAGTATTAAGTGAGCAAAATAGATAATAAAAGATATAGGTCTGAATCATTTGTATATATGCATAAAATAATTTGAAAAAATACATTATGCAACTAATTTATTGTGGAGGATTGATAGATAAACAATACTGCTTAAAATAATCTATAAGTTCTGTCTAACCTGTTCGTGACATGACATAATTTTTAAGTGATAATTATGATGTCCAGATTCTGATTTGCAATGTTTAATGAGAGCCCACAGAATTGGATATATATGTTTCCCTTATTTTCATAGGTGGAGCGCTTTAGTCAGGAGGTTCAGGTTCCAGAGGCTCGCTGTTTCTATGGCTTTCAAATTCTCATCGAGAATGTTCACTCAGAGATGTACAGTTTGCTAATAGACACGTACATCAGAGATCCCAAGAAAAGGTATTACCACTGGGATTTATTTACAAAGGTTTATGCTATTGCTTATGTTAAGAGCAGAACTGGGGCATCCAGGTGGCTCAGTCGGTTGAGCTTCTGACTCTTGATTTTGGCTCAGATCATGATCTCAGAGTCCGGGGATCAAGACCCCTGTCAGGCTCTGCACTGAGCATAGGGCCTGCTTGGGATTCTCTGTCTGTCTGTCTGTCTGTCTCTCCTTCTGCCCATCTCCTCTGTTTGCATGAGCACTCTTGCTCTCTCTCCCTCTCTCAAAAA